AAACAATGCGTTGGTGAAAATTGAATATACCGCACTTACACTCAAGTAACATATGAAGAAAACAATTCCAAGCACCGCCAACAGTAATATCCTGGCGCCACGACGGGATGGAGACATGATTCTGTGTCCACCGGGTACGGGTAATGAGGCGTGTCTGGTAGGGAAAGCCCTTGACGAGCCTTTCATCATGGATCCCGACGAGAGCACACGACCACAACCACGGAAGATAGAATTGGGGATGGAATGGCTAATCCATGAGATCTGGGTGTAAAGAGGTGCGGTGATGATGAGGAAAGGGTTGAAGAAGACAGTGGTCGCAGGGGCGAGAGTTGTTCTCCCCCCGGTCGGGAAGATGCTTTTTGCTGAGCTTGTCAAACATGACGGTAATATTCAACTCGTATGCCCCGTATTGACTTGATCTAATAATCCCTGGCCAATAGTTAACCAAGTTGGCCGATGGATTATTAATCTGTCCACATGTTGATAGTCACTAGTTATCGGCAATAGAACCAGACAAGAATTAGAAAAAGTCCCTCGCATCTGGGTTGAAAACTGTTGAACACTGTGGAGGAAAAGCGCCATGCCGCTGGAAAAAAAAACTCGATACTACCACCGCCAATGAACTTATTGCTCCCCCAACTGTTGTTGCCTTTTCGACCCTGGAAGTTGGAATACATTCTTCACGCTATCGATCAGCAACTGGTTTCGCTCATGATCGCCGCTATCTGGAGACCCACCAACACAGATCATGAATTTGTTCCCTTCCAACTTACGGAGTACATGTCAAGGATTGAAGGAAGGGACAAGGTAGGGGATGCAGGCAGGATCCTCGGATATTATTTATCCTTAATTCGGGCCATATTCTGACGATTTTCGCTACCAAAAGAACCAACACGCAAACAAACGAAAGGCAAAAAGCAAGGGCCCCCGATATAACTCCTGCATGAGTCTAAATAGTTAATTAACTGTCCAAACTCACAACTCAACATTTTGTAATAATAGGCTGGTATCCCGGCTGTATTTCGTTTCCCCCCTACAGGGGTAACAGTGGTACGATCTATCTGTCTCAACTCCATTGCTAACAGCGAAGCGGACGCCCACCGCGGAGTCGCGGACTGATGATTCGAACATCCATGAACCCGAGTCCCTGAGAGGTCAAGATGTGGGTCGTCAGGGGCTTGCCGAGGAGAAGGATCGAATACTTCGGAGTGAGAAAAGCATTTTGAACAGAAGCCAAGAGGCTCCAGGTCCGGTAACTTCCCCCGCTCAGGTTAAGTCAAGGGGCTCGACCCTTAGCTACTTCTATTTTTGGTGCGCTGTTGCTCGTAAGGATTGAACTATGTATTATTAATTGATCATTATTTAATGCACCATGCCCGGCCAAGACTGGCTAGGAGTTTTAGCTACTTACCTTTCAAGGATATAAAACGGAGTAATTATCCACAAGCTTTCAGCCTTCGGCATCTGCATTTCTGAGGCATTTTGCAGACGCCTGAGATATATTATCAACGCTTGGCCTCGGCCCTCGGATCATTCCAACCCCGATGCTGTATACCTAACTTCACAACCAAGCTTTAGGCGACAAGCCCCAGAAAATCACACCAATTCCTTGGGACCAGGTTGAGGTGCGCGGGACAGATGTAGATAATATATATTCATACGATGCAAAAACCACTGGGACATTCTATTCATTTCGCTGCATAAACTGTTATTGATGCTAGCTGTGGAGCACAATTAGCGGTCTCACGGGCTGCCAGTGCTCTCTACAGAAAGAGATTTGATCAAGTTACGCTGCGTAGTGAGATGAACTGAGATCAATGGAAGTGACTAAAATGTGCCAATAGTTACTAGTAACCTTTCAATCAAGGTGGGACGCTATGGCTTTAAATTTCATGCTAACCGTAATAATGAATTGCTCGGTCCTGTGGTATGTATCTAGGGGGTTGTTATTGATAGTCGCTCCGTAGGGCTGGCACACTGAGCAGAAGCTACTGTAAAGGAAGGTGATGCATTTTCTCTAACTGCTCGGTGAAACGCCACTCTACGAAAAACATAGAGAACATAGAGAGCAAATATACCGCTTACTTTCCTCGGTACGCAGCGGCAGATGGTGAATGTGAGAGTTGTTTACAATGGTGGTGATGTGAGGCAAGCCACATGCAACTTTGTTTTTTTGAGTAAGAGTGCCAAGTTTTCCAACTTTTGCTTGCGCGTACCATCCCTAGTGGTGTAGTGGCTAACATCGCTGTCTTTCACACAGCAGCCCAGGGTTCGATTCCCTGCTAGGGAGATGATGGTTTTTCTTTTTTTGCTGCTTTTTATCTTTTTTTGGCTCAAAAAGGTCCATCCAATCTATTAAGATAATATATATATAAAAAGAGCAATTCTAAGATTTTATTATTTCTACTGCAACTGATAAAGTTCGAAATAAACTTACAAAATATTATATCAAAATCAATCAACCATTCACTGATTACTTACTATACGGGTTACTGGTGTACTTGATTTCTTATATTGAATCAATGCATATATTCTCGGAAATTGAATTGAAAAGAATGATAAATTTATATTAATATTGCTCAGATATATTACAATGACAAATTGATAATTATCAATAATATAATGTAAGAAACCCGCACTAAGATGTCAGTACAAGGCCGGAATTGATGATTACTCTAAAGATATGACATCGCCGAACATAGCACCATGAACATCATATCAGGTTTGAAATCAAGGCATTATCATCATGCCTTTGGCATCATACTATACCATCTACATCATAGCAAGTTCGATCTGTCTATGATACTGTGTATATATAACTAACAGCTGGCTCAATCTTCTAGAGACCAATGAATCATTCTGTTATAATCTGACCCCTACATTCAACGACCTCGATATCTAACCATTCAATCGGAATTCTCTCCCATATATCATCGTATTATCTCCTATAGTTAGCTTAATCCTCGTAGAGTCTTATTAAGGACCTTTTGTGATATAAGCAGCTAATTCCAGCCCCGTTGCTTACACCTTAATATCACTAGCTATTTGATAGCAACCCGTAGTCAGATAGATAGTAGTAGATAATCCTAGTAAGCTGAGCTCATAACTGTTAAAGCAATGGTTAATCATCTGAATATTGTTTCAATTACTGAAATCAGTATAATGAATTAGATTCAACTAACTTATCTTTCTACGGCTTGATAATTAGTTACAGGCAATATTTATAAGCAAAGAAATGCTCAATTATATTGTGGGAACTCTAAGTGGTTGTATTAGCATGTCGGCAGCTGAGGCATATATGTGCGGTGCGCTAGTCCGTGATAGGCAGCCTAGGGCCAACATATAGAAAGCTTTAAACTTTTGTAAAGAATGACTCATTTTTGAGACGGTGCCAACTTACCAAGATACATTAAAGGTTAGTTATCTTCTGACAAAATGTTTTTCATCTACACTGTCATGGTTGGAACTGGCTGGGGAGAGTGATAACAGCCCATGACTGTTCCTCACGTTGCTCTCATTAGCTCTCACTCTTTGGTGTGAGTGATTGAATCTAATGGGGTGAAGCGGAAGTTTAACCCTAAATCATTTTAGCGTCCAGGGGTGATTAATTAAGGTTGATGCTAAAATATGCCACTAGCAAAGTAATGAATAGATTGTTATGATATGCACTGGAGAAGGAAAATATAATCTCCTGTGTAGATACTAAACGAGAAATACTGAAATGTCATTGACCACTAATGAGTAGTAGAAAACAAAGTAAGAAATTATGCAACAATACAATGCATTATCAATAAGAATATCTTGTGGGCTGGAGAGGCTAAGGCTCCCTAGAGGGCACTTGTGCGCCACAGGGAGTAGTTTAGTTTTTCACAAGAGACATCCCGGCGCACTTTCGACGTCTATCCACCTTCTGGTAGGGGACCCAAGAAGCAGTGCGAGGGCAATACATTGCTAATAATAATTTTAAGCATTTTGAAGTTTCCCAACCTTCAGGAAAATATCTATTAAATACAGCTATAGGAAAAGGATACAGTCCGAATTCACTAACGTGAGGTACCCCGCTAGTGTCGTCGATCCCTGAGAGCTGGGCCCTTGCTCATCCTCCTCCTCTTCGAGCCAGAGCTCCTTAAAATGCTTCACCTGCTTGCTCATCAGTGAACCCAAGACCATCAATTAGCCACGGATCAAAGATGAGATCCTTGACACTTGGCCGCTCCTCAGGCCGCCAGCAAAGGATCCTACTAAGGAAGTGCAGGAACCCCCACTTATCTTTATCTTCGCCTTGAATATTTGGCGGCTAGTTTCTCGAGGTTGATGTCCGGCATGGGGACGATATTTTTCCAACTGCCAAGTGTAGTAGATGGCAGTGTGGGTGGGTGTGTTTGATTAGGCCTCTCTTTTTATACATGTACTTACCACTTTCGTCCCAGAATATTGGACACGCTCTGCTCCGGTGCATAAGCCCAGGTGGTGGTGGGCCCTGCACGGCTGCACGGCTCCTAGTTCTGCAATAAACTGCCTATCATGGTGTTTATTGTTTTCGGGGTTCCGGCCACTAACTAGAGTATTTGCAGCAACAAAATGCCAGGTCTAAAAGAATGATAGAAAAGTTAGTTCAAAATGTAACTGATGGACAATATGATTTCTCTTTAGAGAGACATACCATCATATCAAAACTCCAGATATCTGTATACTGGATGATCACATTCACCATCCTCAAATTCCTTGTAAAAGAATGGATTGCTCACAGAGAGGAGCAGATTTTTTGACTAGGTATTTTAAAAATTCATCTATCAGAACAGCCCCATTTTGTATATTAAAAGCCTATGTATGATCTTCCTGCCTGTATGTATTATCCCTGCCTGCGTGTGAAGAAAGTCCAAAGCAAAAAGTAGCTGCCGAAGAAATGGTTTCACATTCTCAATGGTCAGAGAATTGTGTTTTAAATATGAAAAGAGGTGGTCCATGGTAATGCCCGGGGCCTGCAGCACAAACGCATGTGTGTTCCACATGGGGCACTTGCATCTCAAAGAATGAAAAGAATTTCTGAATATGCTCATGTCCAGAGTGTTTGTATTTGCAGCAATAGTGTTTGTGCATTCATATATAGCAACCTCATTGCCTCAAGTGTATGCTGTTAGAACTCATTCAACAAAATAAATTAGTTAAATATAAGAGGTTCAAACATTAAGTCACAAGTGAGCCACACTGTAGAAGTAACAGCATTACTTCAACTTGCCAACAATTTGATATCTGTTGTTGAAAACCTGGCCTATGTCATGCACTGGCTCAGAGAGTTCATTTCGGACGGGGGAAAGTCTTGTACAGTTGCTGGCCTCATGAATGGAAGTGACAATTGTTACAATTGTTTGCAATGAAGCTTTGAATAGATAGATGTACTTTACTTGTTTGGAATTGCACATTGGAAGTATCATGGACATCCAAATTGAACATAAACTCCCATGACTAATATGAGACTACTGCACTTTATGATATGACACACCTTGCATGAAGCTCCAAGGAGAGATTGTCAGTTTCAGAAATGGAACATTTGATGGAGGTGATCAAGACTCAGCGTTTGGCGGCAAACCGGTGCATGGTCCACCACACCCGGGCGCTAAGCATCTCCACTCCACCCCAATTTTAGAGTCATTTTTCTTCCAAATTGTCAGTTGGTTGACTTCCACCTTCGGTCATCAATTGATCGAATCCGGGCGAGAGAACAGGGCGCCGAAAATTGTCTGGTGGCCAGGAGATATGGGGTTTTTTAAGGTTTTTTAAGG